GGGCTGCGACGGTGCCCGCCCGGGCCTCGGGGCCTCCCGCTCACGCCGCGGCCCCTCCCTGTGCCCAGGCATCGCCGTTGCGGAAACCTCCCGCCGCGTGCGCGGCATCTACGACGCCAGCCTCCGGAAGTACGTGCTGGTCACCGGCTTCCTGTTCGCCTTCGCCGTGGGCTTCTACCTGCTGCTCGGGGCGCTGGGCGTGGACCTGCTGTGGACGCTGGAGAAGGCCCGGCGGTGGTGCGAGCGGCCCGAGTGGGTGCACATCGACACCACGCCCTTCGCCAGCCTGCTCAAGAACCTGGGGACGCTGCTGGGGCTGGGGCTGGCCCTGCACTCGGGCCTGTACCGCCGCGGCTGCCGCGGCCCGCTCCGGGGGCGCCTCTCCTTCCGCCTGGGCTGCATCGGGGCCTCGCTCGTGCTCCTGCACCTCTTCGACAGCCTGAGGCCCCCGGCCCGGGTTGAGCTGGTCTTCTACGTGCTGTCTTTCTGCAAGAGCGCCGCGGTGCCCCTGGCGTCCGTCGGCCTCATCCCCTACTGCCTGGCCCGGCTGTTGGGCGGGACGCACGGGAAGGCGCTGTGAGGTGCTGGGGTCCGCGGAGCCGAGCCCGCCACCGCCAGGCCCGGGACCGAGGCTTCCTGCCGGGCCGAGGCGCGAATCGGCTGGGGTCGCCTCTGCCAGCTCTGCGATTCCCATCACGCTGGGTGGTGGTTTTCAGAAACTGACCAGGCCGGCGTGGGAAGCCTGGGCCGTCCAAAGTTGCAGCCTCCTCGATGTCCCCTGAGAATTTTTCCTGTTCTCCCGCCCGGTGGGCACAGTAAGACCTCCAGGTTGGGGAGCTCACGAGCCCAGGAGCCCAGGACGGAGACCAGACCTGAGACTCTCCTGCTGTGCCGTCCTCACTCCCAAAGGAGAAAAGCTCACTGGATTTGCTAGGAAGGGGAGGCTGGGCCAAGGAGGATTTGCAGCACCTTGCTCATAACTGCTGGACGCCAAGCGGTGTCTAAACGGCGTCGGTGATAATCGGATCCTTAGACGTGGTGCTGTCCATGATGTAGACCCCCGGGGCGTGGTGCTGCGTGCCTGCCATCCCAGCTCTTGGGAGCTGAAGCAGGAGGATGCGAGTGTGAATCGAACCTGTGCAACCTAGCAGCTGAGACAGAACTTGTCTTAAAATAAAAAGGGCTGGGGCTGTAGCTCAGTGCGAAGGGCCTGAATTCCATCCTCGTCCCACACATTAAGACTCCTCCTCCTTCTGGTACTTCTTCACGCTTGGCCATGGTGTCAACTCTGAGTTGCTGCAGTGACTCAGATACCACACCAGGTCCGAGCGTTTGGGCGTCATTGACTTCTGTCGCCTGACATCTTTGTCTCGATCAGTCCAGCCCTGCTGTCCCCAGAACACCCCCTGGCTCCACACCTACTCCCAGGAGCCTCAGTCACGCAGAGGGCAATTCTTGGGTGGTTTCTTAGCTTCGGTTAAGCCATAAAACCTCGGCAAAATGGCCAGGAGAGGGCCAGGACTCCTCTCTGTGGAAGGTCACTCCAGTGTTACTCAACCCCTGCAGGGTACACACGACTCCTTTCCTTACCCCAAGCCAACCCAGACACATCTTTAGAGGAAAAGCCAAGTTCTTTGTGCTGGTTTTCAGGATTCCCCCTCAGAACCAAAGACGCTATGACCTATTTATTTGAGACTCCTTGTTTTTGCTACTGATGACATAGAATGTCGTATATTGTCACGTATACCAAACAGCCTGCTCTTAACATCCTTGAAAAGAGGAACATACATGTGCTATCTTTTATTAAAACATTTTATTTAAGAAAGAAGTCTTGTTGATTACTGAATTTGAGCCGAAATGTGATCAGAAGGTTCAATCTCTGACCCAGCTAAATTTCTGCCTCTTTCCTGTTTCCTTAAACAAATAACTCGGCTCCTTGGTGCTGGCCTTTTCCCTTTAGAGGAAAAGGGGGGCTCCGCCCTGATTACCCAGGGTTCCTGCAGGGGTGGGGAGACTTGTGCATGCTGAGCACATTGGCAGGGGACAGTAAAGGCACAGAGCTGGTGCCACGTGCAGGCCAATCACTTGCTGCCCTGTGGGAGGCAGCTGGGGAGGGTGGTGGCAGAGAATGAACGGCTGTGATTGGTCAGCTGGTCAGAGGTGGCATCCGGGGGTCCCTTCCCGGGAGGCTGACTGGGGCAGATCACCTACTCATGAGGTGCTGTTCTTTTCTGGGACAGGGTCTCCCAATGTAGTTCAGGCAGGGCCTGCACTCACTATGCAGCCCAAAATGGCCTTGAACTTGCAGTGATCCTCCTGCCTCAGCTTCCCAAGTGCTGGGAGGACAGGTGCGTGCCACCACGCCTGACTATTCATAACTGCGAATACTGCAAATCAAGAGCCTCACGTCCTCTTCTTGCTGCTGATTAGTTGTCACTTGTTCCCTGGCATCACACAGCGGGTGGCCTGGAGGGGGGCTGCGCATGGCCCAGCCAGTCACTACAGTACTAGTGATGAGAAGAAACACACCCTGATGGCTGTGGACAGCAGGGCCAGAGGTTGTGACTAAGGCCAGGAGGTGGCCCAGAGGCCGGATCTCCGAGCTCCCTTCGGAGGCAGGAGGCTGCAGTGCCAGCTGAGACCGGACCACAGGGCAGCTCTGCTCCGTGTCATCAGAGTACAACTCAGGCAGACACGAGGGTTCCCTGCCAGGTGAAGCATGGGGCACAGGGCAAGCCGGGGTTGGCGAGGCAGGGGTGAGGACACCACCGCACCCAGGAGAGTGCAGGGCGCTTGTGCGGGCTTTCTGCGGAGCCACTGCCCTCATCCCAGGTGCGGGTTCCTTCAAGGGACTTGATGGTCACGCCATCCTGGGTCAGCTGCGAGTGAGCGCTGCCAGTTCACCCCAGAACTTGGGGCCGAGTTGGGTCCTCCTGCTGGGCTCCTCAGCAGTGGGAACAAAGCACCTCCTGACACTAATGCTCAGTCCCCGAGCTACACCCAGACCTGCCCCCGGCAGAATGTGTGATACCAGATTAGCTTTCAACCTACAGATCCTGGTCTGCTTGGGAAATGGCTGTGGCTTCCAGACCGGAAGCCAGGTGAAGGCCCAACGACTGCTGTCAGAAGCCAGCCTGGGCTGGAGATGTGGCTCAGTGGTACAGCATCTGCTGGCAAGTCCAAGGTCCTGAGTTTAATTCCCAGTCCAAAAAGAAGAAGAAGAAGAGGAAGAAGAAGAAGAATAGGAAGAAGAGGAGGAAGAAGAAGAG